AATGGGTTACAAAACCACTCACTTTCCTTTCTAAGTTAGGGTGTTTGTTACAGCAAGTTAGGACTTAGTGTGTCCTACTGGTGTTTTGGGCAAGAATCTCTTGGACCTCTGGCCCAGGATCTCTTGGCACACTGGATAGGAAATTTCACAGGTTCAGAGGATGATGACTGGTTTCCAGGTGGGTGAGTATATATTAATCCTGGAAAACTGCAACACTAAGTAATGATAAAGTCAAACCTACAGTAGTAATAATTTTGTTAAAGAATAGTGTGTGCCTATTTGATACTAAGTATTTAACGCTTGAAAATTTAGCCTATTAAAGGAACAGATTGACTTGTGATTCTAGTTTACAATATACAGTTGAGTAACTGATTTAGACTTTTGGTTTTACCTTGAAATCTATCTTTACAAACAGTATTGGAATACTGAATAGAATTTATTTCCCTCCTCTCCCAGTTTTTACTTTTTAGATTCAGGAGATTTTATAGTATCTGGAATAATCTGTCAGACAATATTAAAATAATATAATAAGTTTAGGAACAGCCTAAAACTTCTATAGGAATTTAAGTTGTAAATCCCCTCCTTAAACTTGACTATAACAAATTTACTACATTTACAAATTGAATAAAATTTGAATATCAAAAGAATAAGGCTCCTCAATTTTGACCTTTAGTGCATTAATAAATCAAATATATTTAGCAACTAAAGGAGCCCCTGAAATAACATTCTGTGTAGAAAGGTCACCCTCAAAGGCATTAGGATCTCACAATGACATACAAATCCAAGTTCAGATCCTTGCAAAATCACACAACATGGCAAAACTGAGCAGAAATCCTGCAGGACAAAAAAGTCCCTTTCTTGAGATGGTGTGTGAGTTTTCTAGTTCACCATAGTCCCTCCCCACACCAGGTACACACATCACTCAATCACTCATTTACCTTTACATTCCTGGTCCTTATAACGGCATTTGCTATTTCAACCTATGCATCTAGAGCAGTGGTTCTCAACCAGGTGTGATCTTGTCACCCAGGGGCTGGTTGGCAATGTCTAGAGATATTTTTGGCTGTTACAATTATAGGTGGGTGCTACTGGCATCTAGTGGGTAGAGGCCAGGGATGCTGTTAAAATCTTACAATGCACAGAGAAGCCCCAACAACAAAGGATTATCCAGCCTAAAATGTCAATAGTGCTAAGGCTGAAAAATCCTGACCTAGGAGAAAACATCTAAAATCCTGCAACATGGCACAGAGGCCTTGCAATGATCTATTATCTGCGTATCCTGGACATTGACATTAAGCGGGTCACAAGTCACCTTCTTTCTTCACTGTTTACAGAGTCCTCTTTTGTATCTAATTTCTTAAATTCTGATGGGTTTCTCTTTTCTTTAAAATTTGTTCATTTCCATCAAGAAATCCTTCCTTACATTGAAATTAAAGATACTCTAATTTGCTTCCTGCTAACCATCCTACAAATATTTCACATTTATATCCTCAATCCATCTGGAATTTACGTGCTGGAATTCAGAGGTATAATTTTGTTTCCATGCAGATAACCCATGACTTCAACAGCACTTACTGAATAGCTTATCTGTCTCCACTGGTTGGTAACACCAACTTTGTTATACACTGAATTTCCATATAAACTCTCACCTGTTTCTAGGCTATTTTCTATTTATTCCTGTGATGTCACTGCTTTAAGATATACTTTCCCTAGGAAATTTACTATCTGATATGATTCCTTCCTCATCCTTCTTTATTTACTCCTACATAAATTTACTCCTATATAAATTTTCATATCAGAGCTCTTGGAATTTTAGTTGAAACTACACTGAGTTTATGTTTAGGGTAAAAATAATTGTTTTTTTTATTCATGATTATTATATCCCTATTTGGATTTTCCATGACTTTCAGTAAAGTTTAACAATGATTCTGTGATCATAATGATAGACTTATTCCTGGGTGCTATATATGGTTTGTTTTTCATTTTCAAGTAAGTTTTCTTTAGTTTGCATCTTGTATATGGCAACCTTGCTGAGCTGTCTGTGGATTCTTTTGGATCTTCACTCAATCGTACACCTGCAACAGTTTCTTCTTCTGCTATACTTAACCCCAATTTTTTGTCTCACTGTACTGGATCTGATCTCTAGTACAGTTTTGAAGAGTAGACATCTTCACCTTGTTATTGACTTTAAGAGGCTTTGCCTCTAATACTTCACATTTAAATATCACTTTTTTCTTTCTAAATTTGTGGGAGATACTTTCTATCAGGTTAAGGAAGTTGTATTCAATTTGTGGTTTCCTAAGTTTTTAACATCCCAAATTAGTGGTACCAAGCCACAAAACAGCTTTGTTTATTCTTTAAGCCTGCCCAATCTTCTTGGAGGGCTTGTTCTTATATTGGAAATGCAGCTGGAAAGCCTTCCTCCATTTTTGAACCTACCTCCTTTACATCTGCAGCCTTACTCACCATCTTTCAGGGAAATCCACTTACCTTAAATCACTTTAAATTGGAATGCTGTTCAGCTTTCAGATTAGCCCATTCTCAGAAATATCTTAGGGATGTTAAAAATTACCTCCTGTCATTTCACAGATAGTTTGCAAGAGATAAAAGTCAAAGTCAGAAGCCTGGCTATTAATAGTGGTCAACACAGAGCCAGGGATAAATCTTTAAGATTCTTAAAAGGAAGTATAAAAATGTCTCAACATTCCATTATCCTCAAGCTCTTATTTAACTCCTGAGTCAACCAAAGAGCTAGTCCTGCAAAAATACTAACCCAAATGAACCCCAAAGCCCCTAAGTGACTGAGACAGTTGGAAGAGGGTTTTAGAGTGTAACCTTACACACATGTAGGAAACTACTTCCATCAGGGAAAAGACCTTTGGAAGCATTAAACTATCATGGGTAAATAAATTATTGTAGGTAAAGATTCAGCAGAAATAATCCCTAAGGCTTTTAAAAATGAAGTTTCAGTGTTTTTTTCCCATCTTTTTTCTGTGCAAAAACATGCAGTGTTGAACAAGTGGCTTTTCCTTTATTTCTTTCATTTTTTCTGTGCCAGTTACTAGGGGACACTTTGTTTTCATCTTTTTTCTTCTCACAGTTAAGGGGAAAAAAATATTCTTCATATGGTTTTCAAGTCAGGCTACAGTAGTATTGTACCTGGGAAGGAAATGGCTAGGCTCTGGGAGAGCTGTTGTTTTTTTTCCCCCAATCAAAATACACATGTTGTTGGAGGGTTTCTCATCAGCCAAAAAACAATGTTTGACTATTTCATCCTGAGTGCTACATATAACTTTCTGAGAATGTCAGAATATCTTCAAGTGAACATCTCCCTGATAGTTATCAATATACTTGGAAAGTCTGACACCTTTCTGACAGTCATTTAAAAAGCCACAGGTTGCTTGTTGATTAATCAAGGACCATAAAGCATATATGTGAGCTTCCATTTTTCTTTCAATCCTAAAAAGCTAGGTATCAACCTTGTACTCTGAAAGTTACACAGACATACAATATCCCTCCCCCACATGTGCGGTGGCTGCAGTTGGGATGTATGGGGAAGAAACGGTTCTAAGGAGGCAAAGAAAACAATTTGGCAGTGGGGTAGGGTCAATTTTCCCAGTCACTTTTACTAAAAGCAGCTGTTGATGACTTATAGTAGGCAAACAATGTTATTTAAAAAACAGTTCTCAGTGGCCTTCCCCTTTGGGTTATTTTCTACATAAATCAGTTATTTTATGTACTTCTTTGATAAATTGAAAAAGATATTTTCCCTTCTGATTTGTCTCTTTGACCCTTTACTGATATCAGAAACAGGTTAGGTCTAGACTAATATTAAACTGGAAAGTGTTCCTCTGCCCATTTTTCTAACAAAAATATTGCAGATAAATTTCAAACTTCTGCTACGTCAAAAAAATGGGCTTCTTCTATGTTCTCTAGTAGCAGATACAGGATATCTGTGATCGATCAAAAATCACAAATACAAACCCATGTTCAACCTCTTGCCACAAATTTTCTTCTCCCAGGAAACCTCCAGCTGCTACCACTTACTTCATTTTCTATGTAGCTGATAAGAAAACCGCTTGATACACAAGCCTTTTGTGAAAACTGTGAAGTTGTTGTCAATTATGTTCCCTTTCTTGTATTTTCCAGCTCAATAGCTGCAGAGTGCAGTAGTGACACTGTCTTTAGCCACACTTAGCGCCATGGCACAGGGAAATCTCTTTCAAGATTATCTCCATTACTTTGTTGATTTTTAACAAGGAACCCCAAAACTTTATACTGCACATAAGGGGCTTGAAACAGATTAAGCAATAGGGTGTGACTTTAGGATCCTTGTTTCTGAGGCAGAACAAATTCTACCCCATGCCTCCTTTCTGCTCATCCTCTGCTCTTCTCCCGCCCCACCCACCCCCAACCAACAACTCCTTTCCTAGCCCTGGAGCAACAGGGGGAATTATTAACACTCCAAATGTTACAATATACTGTTAAATCAAATACAGCATTCCTCAGTGAGAGAAAGATTAAGAAAAATACGAAAACTCTCACTGGAAAGTTTCTGAGGTAAAGAGAAACCTACGATATCGACTATCTTTACAATTGTGAAAACTTTCAATTTTGAGAAGAAAATAAAAAAGATACCAGTGAGGTAGCGTAGCCTTCAACACTGCGCGTCTTTCTCTCTTTAAGGTTTCAAACGGCTACCAGCTGACTCAGACGCCGGCTCGGGGCCCGTGGTAACCACCGGCCCGAATTCCTCAACACTGCTAACGACGACCCGAAAAGCCTGCAGAAAGTCCTCGGCCGCTTCCCTCCACGCCTTTTAAAAGGAAGCGGGAGACTGCACGGCCCGCCCCGCGACGCAGAGGCCACGCTCTAGTGGGTGGGGCTATCTCCTAGCCACCGCCTCCCCAGCTGGAGGGGGACGAGCGACGTGACGTCATCCAGGAACCCCTCCCTGGTTGGAGGAAATTTAGAAGAGCGTAGCGGGAGAAGGAGGCGGAGTCCAGTTTCCCTGGTGATGGGTTGCCCGGCGGTCGCCTGGTAACCGGTCGCGGAGGTCCTGGCTGCTGCAGCGCAGGCCGCGGAGGTCTCTGGGCCCGAGCCAACGCTGGGTTCCTTCTGTCTGTTTTATCATGGCTGCCGCCGCGGCAGTGGTCACGCCGTCGGGATTGGAGGATGGGGTGTCTCGGTCCCGCGGCGAAGGGGCGGGGGAGGTGGTCGTGGAGCGGGGGCCCGGCGCGGCCTACCACATGTTCGTGGTGATGGAGGACCTGGTGGAGAAGCTGAAACTGCTCCGCTATGAGGAGGATCTCCTCCGGAAGAACAACCTGAAGCCCCTGTCCAGGTGGGTGCTCTCGTCCCGCAGCGCCCGGGTGCCGGCTGGGCCCTGGGGAGACGCCTTTCTCCGGCCTTGTGGGTAACAGGGAGCGCGGGTTAGCAAGCACTTGCCTCCATTTTCCTACTCAGGAAAGGGCACTTCACCCCAAACTTGGCGACGTAGGGCCAGGCTGCTCACGGAGTTTAGACATGGTATTTTGGGGGAAAGAGTAAAGTTTGGGAATTACAGAAAGGACTGGAAGACAGCATGCCTAGAGTACACACGCAGCTCCGTAAAACACAAACTGTTTTTTCTGATTATAAATGAAGGTACTTATTGTAGAGAACTCAGAAAACACAAGAAAATGTATTTTAAAAAATATTGCAGCCACTCACAATCTCATTCCCAAAGATGGAAGAAAGCTGTTATCATTTTAGACTGATCACTAGTTTTTGTTTTCCTCTTAGAGAACCTGTCCCTACAACTGGTAACCATGGACCTTGTTGAGCACTTTATATGCATGCAGTTCATAAACTTGTTCACTAATTGCTGTGGTTTAAAAGACTTATGCCTTTGCAATAACAGTACTCTCTGAAGCTGAGAAATGGAAAAGACAAATGAAATGACAACTATTGGAATTGTCTGTCACAGAGCCTAAAGTTCTGCCCTTGTTCTGGGAGGGAAAAAGCCCATCATATCCTGAAGTCACTGGCATTGGTCGCTGAGGGTGGTGGACAGCTAGCACTTTTCTCTTCCAATTGGCGTAACTTAGTGATAGCCTCATAAATAAGTTTTATAGCTTTCCTAAATGTTAGTACTTAACATTTATTTTTTGTGTTAATTTTTTGTGTTTATTTAATTGTGTAAGAGGCAATTTAGATTAAGAATCTGTAGTACTTTCTCTTAATGGCTATATCTAGACTCGAATAATTTCCCTTGACAGTTTGGATCTCATTCCTCGCTCTCTTCTAATGACTTGCATTGGAAGATACGTAGGCTTCATGTAAACTTCATATTGCTGTCAGTCCATAATATGAGAAAAGTTATAGGAAAAAGTAGTGTAGCTTGATCCATGAACAAAATGGTAGGATTGGAAATTATTACTTTAATGAATTGATCAGGATGGTATAAACAACCAACATTTTCTATGTAATAAATAGGCAGTTTTTTCTCCAAATATATATTTCAAACTCAAAGAACATGGCCTTGAGATTCTATTGATATAATCTCTGAAATATTTTGTCAGGAGTTCGGCAGGATACTTTGAGTTATGGGTTTGCGTGGAGATACCCTTGTTTAACGGCTCTTGAAGTGTGGTCATCAGACTAGCAACATGAGCAACAACCTGGGAACTTATTACAAATGCAATTCTGCAGGTTCCTTCCCGGGTCTTGTGTATCAGAAATTCTAGGAGTAGGGAGGGCCTAGGAGTCTGTGTTTTAATAGTCCTTCCAGATGATTTTTGATGCCTGCCAAAGTTGAGAACAGCTGTCCTCGCTCTGCAGTGTCTATCAGTATCCATTCCTCTGTCTTGGAGTTGTTATCAGCTGATAAAGAAAAGATGAATTGTTAGTGGTGGGTGACCATATACTTGAGGGGACTTTGTGGCCTTTTTGTCTTCCCAGCTTTTCTTATCTTCCAGAACATTTACACTTTTCTGCAGGAAAAAGTTTGGGAAACAGGAAGGAGCAGACTGCTGATTCTTAGGAAAACAGTTATCATAGCTATAGATCCAATTATAAACATAATAGTGATAGCTACACGTAAAAAAGCAAAATAAGACCTTTTCTCAAACTAACTTGAATGTTGTTGCTAGCAAGTTTTATTCCTGATATGTTTAGGTAATATCATGTTGATCCTCACAGGACTGTTTTTAGTTGGCTAGCGGGTTTAGCAAAAGTCAACAAATGTTTGTTAGATCGGGGATGTGATACGCAGCAGTTCTTAATCCTGGCTTTACCTTGAAACTTGGAATCACCTAGGAAGCTTTTGAAACATGCCCATTACTGGAGTACTGATTTAATCCGTTAGTGAAGAACTAAAGTTTAGTCAGGTTGCAAAATTTTGACGAGTTCTTCAGGTGAGTCAATATGCAGTCAAGATGAGAACAACTGTTTAACACAGTGACAGATTAGAAATAGTAAGTAAAGGCAACAGTGACACTGTAAAAAATGTAAAAATGCATATTGAGTCATCATTAAGGTCTATTTTTAAAACTCTGAAATTCTCTTAATTCCAAATTACCTTTTTCAGGAGGTACTCTCTTATTAATTATTCCTGACACATAAATGATTTTGGCCAAAGTTCTACATATGCAATTTTTTTAACATGTCCTGCATTTTTATGGATATAAGGTCTTTGATCTAATATTTTGTGTGCAGTAGTAATTGCCCTTCTCCTGTTGATTAAAAACTTTAATGTGAGTGTTGTGGATTACTAGAAACTTTGAAGAGTGAATTATCAATGTCTTTTGATGTTAAAGTCATTTGGAAAAAAAAGTCCTTTGGCAATTTTGGATTTAGCTCCTTTAGCTACTATAGACTTATTTGCAGTATTTCTTATTCTACCCTTCCCTTTTATTTTGAAACAGACACTACTTTGCACTGCCTACCAACCCAGGGGAACAGTTCTACATGTTTTGCACTCTTGCTGCTTGGCTGATTAACAAAGCAGGACACCCTTTTGAGCAGCCTCAAGAATATGATGACCCTAATGCAACAATATCTAACATATTATCTGAGCTTCGAGCATTTGTAAGTATAAAGAACTCTCTTCTTTCTGCATGTTCTCAAGTTAGGAAATTTTTAGCATAGGTAGCCGAGCAACATAAATGCTAGCCTTTTGGAAGAATTCTCTGTAAATAACTATATGTATACACAAATGCATACATATATACATAATTATATCTAGATTAATTTTCAGGTAAAATCTCAGAATGATTGATCTTATAACATTAATGCCACTTCTAAAAATGTTTAGTGTACACTCTTTACAGCCAAAAATAATAATATTTTTCTTAAGTCTTGATATGTCTGAGGTGAATTTATGAATACTTAGTTCTCCTTCCAACAAAATGATAAAAAATAAAAGAAACTAGGATGCTGAAACAATGTATTAAGGGAACTTTCACTTAATATGCCACAATAGCGGTTTTTTCATTTCTGACTTTTCCTGGGGACAAGCAGTAAGAACTTTTGGCACGCTCATTATTAATTTTTGACAGGTGAATTGCTTCATCCTTCATATGGTTGTTCAACGATATGATATCACTTGAGTAGTTATACAGATTTTTCATCCTAACAAGATCAGTGATTTGTTCTGCTGTCATGAGGTTATGACCTCTTAATTTTATACCTTTGACAATAAAACATCTTTATTTTCCTTTAGTGTTTATGTACCAATGAATTAAAAAAAGACTAAAGAGATGGATTTCTAAGAAGCAATGTGATTATAGTTATTTTTAATCATATTTAAGGGATAGAGAAGTGATATGCTTATTCAGCAGTACTTTGCTTAAAATACTTTGACATTTGCAGTATAAATAGAAAATAACACCCAGTTTATCTTTTGTATTTCAGGGAAGAACTGCAGATTTTCCTCCTTCAAAATTAAAATCGGGTTATGGAGAGCATGTATGCTATGTTCTTGACTGTTTAGCTGAAGAAGCGTTAAAATATATTGGTTTCACCTGGAAAAGGTAAAGATTACCCAACCTGGCATTAGTAATTCTATGTGCATAGCTTTTTCTTCTAAGGGTTTGGAGCTGTTTAATTGAACTGATAGAAAGTGTTTCCTCTTGACTGTTCTAAACTGAAAATGCCACAGGTGACTAGAAAATTCAGTACAGACAAAACTGGGATATCTGGTGTCTTCAGAACCATTTCTGATATTGTGCCTTTTTCCAGTTTAAACATATAATTATTAAACTTTTAATTGTAACTGTGTATCCTGGTTAATTTAGGAAATTTTTAAAAAGTTTCTTTGCATATATTTATACAACCAAACATAGTTTATATATGAAGGTAACTGAAAGCTGCAGATTTAAGGAAAAAAATGGAAATTAATATAGTATTTCAAATGCTTACAGTGACTTGGCAAGAATAACACTGAAGAAGCCACCTGACACTTTGTTAGACATTGTTCATTACTTCTTTCTCTGATCTAACTGTGATTTGTTTATATTTCTGTTATTGTATTTATCCCATGATATTAAAGTCACTTGTTTACAGGTCTGGCTTTCTTGCTAGAAATTATGAAATCTTTGTGCTGTATGGTAGTTAGCACAGCATTTGGTATATCATAGATGCTCAATAAATATTGACCATATGGATGAGGGAATAACTAGAAACTGTCAATTTGTATAGGTTATAATTAGAAAATATGAATGAAGATTGGGATTATTGATAGGTTAGAGATTGTGGAAGGCATTATTCAGGTAAAACATGAAAAGACAATGGTTTTGGATTAGAACTAATTTCTTGGAAATCTGTATATATTATTTGTATATTTTAATGTATATTCAGTTACATTCTCTTAGGTAATTAATCTACCCTCTATTAATGAATACTTTTAAAAACTTACTTAGGTCATCATCAGGTTGAGCCGTATGAAATTACAGATATCCATCTTTTTTTTGAGCTAAAAAATATCAATTTCATATGTTTCAACCCAAACATTACCACTTAGTACAATATGAAGAATGTCTGCGTGATCTACATTACTTCTTTGTTAGATTCCACAAAAAGTTATGAGATATGCTACTCCATTTGGCATTTTTTAAATTATTAAATCTATTGCCCAGTACATTCTAAAATCACCAGAAGCCGTTAGTATTCCTACCACTATTACATTTGGTACTTCCTTTGTTTCTGGGCATACCTTATTCTTGGCCGTGTATTGTGATTTGGATAATATATAGGGATCATATGTACATGGAGGGGAAAGAGGGGAAACATTGAAAATTGAGATTAGAGAAGGTATCAAGTATGTAATATATAAGTTACATGGAAGTTACATGTTTATAGGTGCTTATTTATGTATCTAAATATGCTAAAACAAATCCCAGAAAACATAGAAACCCTAGAAAAACATTGCCTTTAAGATTTTATCTAGTTCTAATTAGTAAAAAAAAAAAAAAAATAGGAAATTTATTCTTTAAGAAGATTGATCTGGTTTGTAGTACTTTCCTTCCTTAAAATTGAACGTCAATTTTTGTATTTTATTAACCTGCCTGAGGTATGGATTTTTAAAATAAGTTTCCAGAAATAAACGCAAATACTTTTCAGCATTTTCAATATGGGAAATACATGTCATTAATCTTAATGGAGAAATGAGTGTTCAATATGTAGTGTTAGGACCACTGATTAGATTCTGGAAATAAGAACAAAGCTGGAGCCCTTCCTGTTACCTCTATCAAAATAAATTTCAGGTCAAAGATGTAAATGTGAAAAATGAAACTATAGGAGTACTAAAAGACCAAAGGCATTGTGTGAGGAAAGAGCTTTGCATATATGTTACTAAAGCTAGAATCCATGCAAGAAAATGTTGCCAAGTCTGTAATAAGAATTGTAAGGGTCCTCAGTAGCCAAAATTGTAAGTAATAAAATAGGAAAGATATTTTTAACACAGCAAAGCTATGATGTTTTTAATATACAAAAGGGCAAAGGGCATAAATAGGCATTTCACTGAAAAAGAAACACGCATAACCAATTAAAACATGAAAAGGTATTCAACCACTCCTGTGAAAGAAAAGCAATTAAAGCAAGAATGAGGTTTTTTCACTTAGATGATTAGCAAAGATTGAAGTTTGTTTACCATATTGATGAATGTGTGGAAATAGAGTCACTGTTGTTGGGAGTGTAAATTAGGGTAACATTTTGGAAGCTGGTTTTGACAATATCAAGCAAAACAATAAAATACACAAAGTTGTTGATCCAGCCATTCTACTTGTACAGATTTATTTTAAATGATATACATAGATGATAAATGTGTAAGGTAAGGATGATCTTTGCAGTATTGTCTAGTAAAGAAACTAGAAATAACCTCAGTGTTCAGGCATAGGTTGCTAGTTATATTAATTATGCTGCTGCTCTTCAATGGAATACAGTGCAGGTGTGTTAAAAGAGAGAGAAAAAAAGATGTACAGTTCACCTTTGAATAATGCAGGAGTTAACAGCATCAAAAATCCCTGTATAACTTATTGTCAGCCTTCCTTATAAGGACTTCCTCCATAACCAGTTCCACATCTGCAGATTCAACCTACCACAAGTCATGTAGTAGTGTATTATTATTAAAAAACATCTGCATGTAAGTAGACCCACGCAGTTCAAACCCATGTTGTTTAAGGATCAACTGTGTATGTACATTAATATGGTTTATTAGTAAGTGAAGAAAATAGGCTGGATAACATTTTACATGGTATCACCCCATTTATGTAAACTTAATATTTCATATTTGGAGATAAAGATTTTTGCTTCCTTACATGGAAAGCTTCAGGAGGAATACGTGAAACATTTAACAGTGATTATGGGAAGGAGGGACAGGTGAAAAAGGACCAGAACTGGTGTAGAGAGGATCCTTAATATTCATATTATGCCTTTTTGTCCTGCTAAAATGTTTTGTTTTTAACTCTCATCTCATGTTAAGCCTTATTGTTTTAGACCAGCATACCCAGTGGAAGAATTAGAGGAAGAAACTGTTGCAGAAGATGATGCAGAATTAACATTAAATAAAGTGGATGAAGAATTTGTGGTATGTGTGTTGCTGAACTTTTTGGTCATTTTCACCTTTGAATTCATTTCCCTCCTCTTAATTCCCCTAAACTTCCATTTTCTGGAATATATTTTATTTCATTGTTCCTAGAGAATAGAGTGCCTACTATCCATTGTTTAGACCTTTGGTTAAGTTAATGTTCATGTTCTCTAACGATTGAGGTTTGGATTTTAGCAGAGGTTCTTCAACTATAGACAGGCAGTAACAGACCATTAGTTATATAGGTAAATATTTTATTCACAACCATTCATGATCTTAAATAGGAAGAATTTAGAAGAGAACAGTAGAATTTAGGATTAATACATCCTGCTTCATTAAGAACGCTATTCATTTCTCAGGAACTCCTTTATGCTTCTAAAATTAGGATAAATACTACTCTGTGGGAACTTTTAAAAATAATATAAATACCAATATTATTTAAATTGTTGGGCGCCTCTGGGCTTTATCGCATTCTAACATTCTAACCATAGTGTGAAGCTAAATGATCATGTCTCTACAACAGACTAGACTAGTAAAGTGGTAGAAGCAGAGAGCAGTTTCTCACAACCAGAGATGGACTAACCCTGGTGTTTTAAGAAGTATACATATGGTTTGAAATTAAAATGGCAGGAAAAAAACTTTATAGTGTATTTTACTGTCATAAACCAATTAAATTTTCCAGGTGATTTTTTGAATCAATAGATAATAAGTTTATTCTATATTTCACCTTAAAGTAATTTATGAAGGCACTATATGCCACAGATAAATTAATCACTGCCTTATTTTATAGTAAGTGCTGAAAATAGCCATTAAATAAATTAGACTATATCCAGACAATAAAATATTATATAGCCATTAAAAACTGTTTACCAAGAAATGTTAGTAACATGGGGATGATAACTTTTACTATATGTGTAAGCTCAGCTATGTAAAATGTGCTGAAAAAGAAAAATAGTGTCAATATATTAACATTAGTTATATATGAGTAGAAGAATTATGGATGATTATTTTCTTTTCTATGATTCTTTGTATCTTCAAAGGTTTTAATGTGTTTTATCAGCAGTATAAATATGTTAAACCATATGTGTAAGAAAAGATGACTGCTATGTATAGAAGGAAAAAATCATTATAAAACTAATCAATTTAAAAGATACCTTTTTTTAATGTGATAAATTTTTAAAGTTAAGGTAAAGATGTATTCATTCCTGTGTTTACTAAGCACCTGTTTTGTAGCTGGCACTGGGCAAGACCCAGATGGTACTGCAAGTACAGAAACTGAGGCAAGAAGGAGCTTAGCATGATCAAGGAACTGAGAGAAAACCATCATAGCCAGGTGTCCTGGGTACGGGGGAAGATGGCTTAAGATTAACTGGGAAGACAGACCAGATCCAGATCATTTGCAGCATTTTTAAGTAGTTTAGACTTCATTCTTTATGTAATAGATCTTTCCATTCAGGCTTATAAAATTTTAAGTCCTCATATATTTTCAGTTGTTCATCTCATTTATTTTACTCAGGTGGTTTCCGCATCTTGACTTCTTAGTTACTGGTTATTAGTTAATAGTTTATCTACCTGGTCTAGTGCATCAACATTTAGCTTTAAAGGCCTGTAACTCAAAACTGCCAGTCAGGAAAAAAAAAGCACAAAAACCTGCTAATCAGAAAGAAAACTCTATGAGGGCAGAAACCCAATTTTGCACATTTTTTGTATCTCTAGTTTATTATGCAGTACCTGCTACATAGTAGATATTCATTAAATATTTGACCACAAAATCATCTGCCAGCACATTGCTTGTAACTTTCAGAAATTATAACTATTTTTTTTCTGAAAAAACTTCTTTTTTTTGAAAAACCTTTAAAGTTCAAAGCAGCATTATTGGGTTTGTCAGTTAGAGAAACAAACTAGAAAGCAGCCTCTTCATATATTTCTTGCCAGCTGTGAGGTAAAGACCTACTGTCATGAGCCCATGCAGAAAGCCTCCCTCAAAGGGTTACCTCTGAGGGGGTGAGTTCCCTTATGTCATGTCTCTTGAATTGTTTGCTTTCCTTTCTTCCTTATTGTCATCATATTATTCTAAGGAGTCCTCTCTTCCCTCTCCCACTCCTCTTGGCAAGGGGAACTGGATCAGTGCCCAAAAGCCTTTGGCTGGTGGAATATTACTTCATTTAGTTGCCAAAGTTTGTGAGGTAGCTCAGGGATGGTAAGGATCATTTCTGACAGAGCGATGTTCTTCTGTAATCAATTAGAAACTTGAAACCTTCAATTTCAGGCTGGCCAAATCAAGATAGGACATGTTGATACTGGAAAGAAAGAGAGGGAGGGAGGGTGTGAGGACTGGGGTCACAGCGCAGAGTATTCTCACAGAATGTTCTCACAGTATATAACCATATCCTTAGTAATTGGCAGTAAGAATTAAGAGGATACATGTTAGGCAAAGAAATGGCAGGAAATTATTGAGTGCCTTCTAAATTACTGAGATTAAAATTCTCTTAATTTATTTTGAAGCCATTTTTTTCTGACCCTGTTTATGTTCAGATTTTTTAATGTTCTTTTAATAATATTTAGTAATTTAAATCTTTGTTCTAGTACCTCCTGTTAAAGCTTTTTGCCTGTTAGTGTTCAATCCACTACAATTCGACAAGTGTTTATTGAGCACCTATGTAGACTGCACTGATTATGTTATTGTAAAAGCATTATAAACTTGTCTCGTCTCTCATGGACATCAAGTCATTGGCATTTCAGTCACTTGCTCTGGTTAAGTAGACCATCAGTAGTGCAAACACAGGATAGACTGAGCTATTTCTCAAAGGTGTGTATCTGCATATATGCTTAAGATTTAAGATGTAAACAGATCAGTTTTGTCTACATCAATATGCCCCACTGTCCCCCTCCCTAAAAAAGTAATCACTTGAGTGTATGGAATCAGCATTTATATTGTTCCATATTTTACTAAAATTTTCCCAGTTCCCCAGAGATTAGCATAATTCTCATATCTTACCTTAGTGGCCCAACTCCACAAGTTTCTGAGTAGATCTTGGATGGAGCCTTAAAATGTCCATTTTCACAAGCTCCCAAGTGATGCTGACACTGACGCTGCTGGTCTGAGAACCACTTCAAGAACCAGTGTCTTAAAATATTTCTAAATGCTTAAAGGTAAGGAGTATCTGTCACATCTGCTACTGCAGCTTTTGTACAGCTCTACACGTGAAAGTGTCCACCAAACGACACCCACTTGTTTTTGTTTTGTTTTGTTTTCCTTTACAAGACTCGAGGACCAAGCTCCACTGGGTTTATTACCATGTCCTTAAGCTTTGGATATTCTTGTTAATTTGTTTCACCCACTGTGCCACTTGTCATCACAAAGATGTTTGAAGAGAAAGGGTAGCTAATGTTTTGTCCTACATGCTTATAGAACCTGCTCAGACTGTATTTACTATATATTGGAGAAGGGATTGCTTCTCAAAGGATCGCTTCTGACCCCATTCCCCACACCAACTGGGCTGGGCATCAGGACCAGCTTGGTGTAAACCTGAACTATTTTTTTAGATAGTTAATATCTAAGATACAAGGTTAATATCTTACATATGTATATTTCACATTCTTCAATAAATTTTTAGTATCTTTGAACTTGGGAGTTTAGCTATAAGAGATGAGATGTCAAAAATATGTGTTACTGTGATTGGTCCCTGGAGCAGGTGAGAGTGTCCTATATCTGTCAACCTCTCATTTTTGTCCATTTTAGTCATGTTACTCAAAATTTGCATTAACTCCTTCCAGCATCTATTTCAAATATGCCACTTGGGACTGTTTCTTTTCTGTTCTTATATTTATTTATCCCTTGTTTCGCAGTAGTGGTGTCCTTCTCTCTCTCTCTTTTTTTTTTCTTCAATGACTGTAAAAAAAAAAGGGGGCTTATTTTAAATGGCATTATCAAAACCTCAAAAAACAGATTAGCTGTTAGTAGACTTATGCCCTGCTTTATGCACACTGTTAGGCTTTTAAATACCCTTTCCTACATCAGTCTTTCTGTTGAGCTTAGCATGTTAAGTATGTGAAATCTGGAAATATGTTTTTAATTACAAACTTTTATAATTATTAACTTTTAAACTCTTTTATTTCCCTAAGGAAGAGGAGACAGACAATGAAGAAAACTTCATTGATCTCAATGTTTTGAAGGCCCAGACCTATCGCTTGGTAAGTTACTTGGGATACACATGGGACCAACAAGCAATCAGTACATGTGTTCTGCTGGAAACTGAAATAAGTAGAAACCACGGTTGGCTGTTGTTTTGTGTGTCACTTGAAAAGTAGCTCTCGAAACTGTTTTTCTATACATAAAAATATAATAATAGCAAATATAAATATTAGAGGTACAAATGTGGCAACTACCTGTAAATATCATGGAAAATTTCATGTAAACCGGGAATAGTTTATTTTTCTTGTGTCATTTGTTATCATGGAAAGACATATAATTCAATTGCTAGTTATTTTCCATTATAATGGCCAATATTGAGTGGTCTAGAATATAGGAAAATACTTAAATGGTAATTTTTTGAAATAGAATGTATTATATTGGGTGGTATATGGATAGGCAGTCAGACAGTGCTGTAAGTCAGTTTTTGCTCTGTTTTAATTAGGAAATAAATCCAGTCAATAAAAGAGAACCCACTCAATGAGATATTTCAAAGGTACTTATGGGATTTTTGTATTTTCCTTTATGTATGTTATATTTCAATAAAGTGATATCTATTGCGTGCTCAGAAAAGTACATATAGAACATAATCTTGTTTATCCTTTATTTAATTTTTCTTTTCTAAATTCTACCAACAAGTTTGGATCTAGTTTTGGGTTCATACCATGAAGCCTTCCTTGGCCACTCACCCCAAGATGATCTCTTCATTTATCATTCACCTCCTTAGTATTGTTAGTCGGCATTAGTAACTATCATTAATGATCTGTGTGTTTTCTACCCAACTTGAGATGTAACATAACATAACATTGTGGCTAGCTTGCCTATGTGTGTGAGTTGACGTTAAGACTTTCAATACTTACTAGGTGTCTGGCCTTGGGCAGATTTCCAAACTTCTTGTGCTTTATCTTCCTCATCTATAAAATGAGGATAAAAACATTACCTTTTACGTACAGTTTTTAGAGATTGAAAGCGTTAACTACGTGTAAAGCATGTGTAATGACGTCTGGCACATACAAAGTGCTAGATAAATGTTGGCTAAAACCGAAACCAAATGTCCCCCCACATTCCTTCTCTCAAATCTGACTTGCATAATCTCCGTGCTACAAGGATGACCATCATTTTTTATATTCGCCATAGTATAACACAGACAATACTGAATAAATGCTTCTTAAATGAAGAAATGTATTTGTTTATTGTTCAATTGCAAATTATTTCAGAATAGTATGGTAACATTTAAATCCAAACAGATAAACTCCAGTTGTAACAAAACATTTGCAGATCACCTTGTAGTTCTCAAATAATTTAAAACACATTCTTTACTGACCTTATAAAGTGTTTGAGTAGATGTTATCTCCATTTTACAGATACAAAAACTAAAATTTATAACCTTGGGATGGTTTAATTTTTTAAAAAGCTAAAAAATTACACTGGCTTAATTTGAACACAAGTCTCCAAACTCCCAAGTCTATTACTTTTTTCCCTTTACCTCATAACAAAAGTTCAATTAAGTGGGTAGAGTTTGATTCTGACTCTAAGAAAGACACCGGTGCTTGGTGTTCCTGTATGTGTTGAAGATGTGACGACAAAGTTCTCCAAAGTAGGAAGGAGAAAGAATAAAAGTAGAGATACATACAGTTATTCTTAGAAAGAATCTGTCATTTGTATGATTCATTTTTTTATTGATGGTGTAAACAGAGGCCTGCAAAGACCACCTGGAATTCCCTCTGAACAAAGTAGTTTAAGTATTAGCAAGGAGTCAAGTAATTTAATTTGCCTCTACCACTACTCCAAATCCATATCAATCCTAATTTCAATTTTTGTATTAATTAAGGTCAATTAAGCTGGATAAGGATGGGTTTTCCCCTACCTGTGACTTTATAAATTATCTAGTTATTAGATCCTTTAGACAATGGTTATATAATACACACCTTTTTGAGCTAAGACTATGTATGATTGCATTTTCAAAGGAAGTCTGAACACCAGGTGTTTGTGGATGGTCAGCCATGAAGTACTAATGAGGCAGAAAACCCTTTCATATTTAAAAAATCTGGCAAGTTTATGATGTTGCCCACCGAAGCCATCTGCCTGAGACAGCTGTATCTGACTGTAGCTTGTGATGGCTGAGGCTGCTCTTTCCCAAAGACAGAACTGCTGTATAGGTTAGTAACACAGATTTAAGATTTTGTTTCATGCAGCAGGTGGACTCAGAATGCAGAAGAAATATTTCAGTAAAGTTGATGTAATGAATTCTTCACTAGAACAAGAGTGATGGATACTATCTAGGAAATTGATGTAGTAAACAAATACTTGGCTGTGCCAGCCCTGCAGTGTGTGGATTACAGCAGTCCCTCTCTACCTGCAGTTTTGAAACAGTCATTCACTATCCCTTCCCCCGCTTTATTGTTCTTCATAGATCCTGGCATTGTATTCATCTGATTTGTTTATTGTCTGTCTCAACCAGTAGAATGCAAACTCCTCTAGAGCAGGAGCTATTTTTTTTAACTGCTTTTTCATCTGTACCTGGTGTGTAGAAAGTGCTGAGTAATATTGAGTTGAATAATATTGAATGAATATACGTGTGAATGAATGCTATTTCATATTTCTAATTTCATAGGGAAGTACAGTTTAATCTTCCTGGAGAAAAGAACTTCTTAGCAATAATTGAGTCCTCTTCTAGGCACCATGTAGGATAATGCAGGGAGAAATCTACTTATATTCCTTTCTTTCCTTAAATGAAGTGAAGTCTAGACCCTGAAAAGTATGCTCTTAAGTATCGTAATTCAAGAAGCTGGGTCTACACCAGCATTTTCCTGAGATTTGTGGTAAATGGAACAAGAGAGAAGGTAAATGGAACAAGAGAGTAGGTAAATGAAAAAGACATGTGTTGCAGATTGTGTTCTCCAGAAGTGGACGCCGAGACAGAGTTTGGGGTGCAAGATGTTTATGGTGAAAGGACGGGGGAAGAAAGCAGGATTGCACTGAGGGAAGGATCTAGCTGCGATTCAGCCTGGGTCTTGGCTTCAGCCAACCTGGTGAGGAGCTGTGTTGCCTGCTTGGCTCAGTCACTGGAGGCTGGCTGCCCTGGGAAAGATGTACCTCCAGGTGAGGTGGCTTTCTGCAGGTGAGACAGAGCCCGAAGGAGCTGTCTGCTGGCCACCTTCCCTGCAGCTGAGCAGCAAGTCCTTCCTTGAAAGGAGACCTAGTGGTCCAGCTTCCTGACTACCATAGCATATTTGAAGCCTGTAACTGCTAATTTGAAGAATTTGTAAGGAGATTGACTAAACTTTGAAATGCCTGCCTAATCAGATCATAACCCAGAAGCAGTATTTCATGAACCCTGAAAACGGTGTTCTAAGAAAAATGGTGCCTCCTTTCAATGACGAACGGGTGGATGAAGACTACTGCCTGCCATATAAGTAAACGAAGGATGCTGTGGCCCTCAAGCCATCAGCTACTGCAGCCACCCCCAACAGTGAATGCTGAGGGGATTCAGATGGAGAAAAACTAGGATACTGGCCCTAGATGGTTAAAGTGCACATCAAAGGAATGGTTTCAGTGAGCTCAGACTCTTGCATCTTCCCATACACAGAAAAGCACTAAAATTCATTAACTTGAGATGTCTGGGTTTCTTAATTAACAGTAGTCTTTTGATGTTCCAGCTGCTTGGGTTTTGTTGCAAAAATTGCTAGATATCCTGGCTCTTCCCTTACCTCTTCAGAGCACTCCCTCAGAGCTATCTGAGAGGCTCTCTCCCAGGATTGGGTCCTCAGAAGGTCTGCCAAATTGAATAAAACCTAATTCTCAACTTTTACGTTGTGTGTTTTTTTCAGTCAACAGATGCTTGCAATGATGAAATTGGTTTGTTTGGAAGCAGTGTTTTTTAGAATATATATTTATTTACTTTGAAGTTTAAAACATATTTTTAATGCCATTTTTACTGTGATTTCCTCCTCTAATTCTCTTGCACCATTATGGTTTTATCTGGCATACCTCATTTTGTTGCATTTTGCTTTATTGTACTTTGCAGATACTGCGTTTTTTACAAATTGAAAGTTTGTGGCAACCTTACATCAAGTAAGTCCACTTGTGCCAGTTTTCCAATAGTATTTGTTCAGCTCATGTCTCTGCCATCACATTTTGGTAATTCTCGAAATGCTTCACACTTTTTCATTATTATTGTATTTGTTATGGCAATTTGTGATCAGTGATCTTTGATGTTGCTGAAGGCTCAGATGATAGTAAGCATTTTTTCACAATAAAATATTTTTTAAAGTATGTACATTGTTTTTTAAGACATAATGCTGTTGCACACTTAATAGACTACAGTATGGTGTGAATACAACTTTTATATGCACTGGGAAACTAAAAAAATGTGTGTAACTCGCTATATTGTGGTATTCATTTTATTGCAGTGGTCTGGCACCAGACCCGCAATATCTCTGAGGGATGCCTGTACTTTGCAAGAAAACAGCTCCTGCAGTTAATGAGTGATAGCTTTAGTTTCCAAAGTTTGATTTGCAGGTTAGTTATTTGAATTTTGATATAGCTTTTCTTGGAAAGAAAAACATTACAAATGGATATTAATCTTCAAGGCTGGCCCACAAAGTTCTACATTCTCTTTGTCCCTCTGATTTCTGAATGTTCTTGAAATCTGAAATCTGAAATGGAGCCAATGCTTCCCTCGGCATGGTCATGAGGGGGGACACTGGTGCGGTATTAAAGTTCTGACAGTTGGGCAGAGCCCGCGATAGTTACAGGCCCAGGAGAATATTCAGAGATGTGAGAGGTGGGAGCAGGGAAGGAAGGATCTGGTGGTGAGGTGTTAGGCAGGTGTTCTGGTCATTTCTGTTTCAAACTTGAGTATGTCAGTGGAACACTGCCTGTGTTTTCCTGGTAACTGCGCCGCAATCGTGAGTGGTCTTTGTCGCGCCCCTCCGTTCTGAAGCTCAGTAGAATCACAGCAGTAGTGTTCTGGCAGCATAATGCAGATGTGTCATTCTTC